CCCTCAGCCTTCTCTTCTCCAGACTAAAGAGTCCCATCTCTCTCAGCCTTTCCTCACAAAGGAGGTGCTCTAATCCCTTAATCATTTTTGTTGCCCTGTTAATGAGAAAGGCCACAGGGGCCATGCAGAGGATGAGCCTGGGTGGGGGTCAGCACAGCACCATTGGCCTCAGACACCAAACCCCAGCTGGGGCACCTCGAGCTGAAGAGAAAATGGCTACTAACAACATCAGCGCAATGTTTATTGCAATGCTGTTACATCTTAGAATTTGGTGCCATTGCTTTTCTGTGTGGAGAATACAATTACGGGCATATGGTGGGAGGGCTAGTTTGTTTATTATTATTTTACAAGGCTGTTCAGGCCAAATTAAGCAAACTCCAGAAGGGTTCTGCTCTCTGCAGGGACAAACATCATAGCAGGTCACTTTCAGAGCTGTTACACAGTGAGAGGAGCTGTTGGTTTGCTTTGTTTGGAAAATGCTTCTACTGGGAGCATTTAAATGGTGGAACTGGGATTTTGTTTAGCAGTCCCTCCCTCAGACCTGCTCCAGATGGTGCCCATCCTTGGAGTGGCATTTTCTGCAGCATCTACTCTGGCACAGAGAATTACTTTTCCTTTTTGGGGGGTTTTGTTTGTTTGGGGTTTTTTTGTTTTTTAAGGGGGAACTGAACTGCTCCTCTGCTGCAGGACACTGAGAAAATGTCCTTTACAGAGGCATGACTTGCTTTCCAGTGAGCAGGACAAAGTCCTGGGATTTAATACACTGCGTGGTGTACCCTGAGCTATGTAACTGTGTCAAACGGCTTCAAGGAATTTCATGAATCACATTTCAAAAGACTGGCTTGAAATGACTCATGCTTGCCTATTTATTAACCAAACAGGAATCTTCACATCTAAAAAAAAGATGTCAACAGCCTGCTCCAGCCACCACAGGGTAGAAGAAGGGAGCTCCAGCTGCCCGGGCTGGGTGCTCTGGTATGTGGTAGGGGGGCCAAAGGATCTCAGCAGAGATTCAGAAGGGTCCGCTGCCACCTCACTCTTACCTTGCCTCCATGGTGCTTGGAGTGCTTCTTCTTGTGCTTCTCCTTGTGCTTCTTATGGTGCTTCTTCTGGCAGCCAGGGGGGCAGCCAGGGGGGCACGGTGAGCACCCTGGCATTCCTGGCTGTCCCGGATGGGGGTGCCCATGGGGATGATGCCCGTGTGGGGGATGCCCATGGGGGTGCTGCCCTGGTGGGTAGTGGCCAGGTGGAGAGGGGCCACAGGGATAGCCAACTGGGGGTGCTGGGGGACAGGCTCCTGGGGCACCAGGTGGCACTGCAGGGTACCCGGGTAAGGGACCTGCTGGGGTACCATGAAAAGGGTATCCTGGAGGGGCAGGAGGGCAAATTTGCAGTTGTGGTGGTGGAACCCCTCCAGGGGCACCTAGGAAGAAGAAGGTGGCTATTAGCAAGCAGAGCTGGGCTCTCCCTGGACAGGCAATGCAGGAAACTGGTGCACCCTTGCACCCAAAGGACCCCCTCCCCAGTCTACCTCTCTCCTCACAGATGATGCCCCACTCCCCTTTGGTACACAGGTAATCAATCCCTCAGGGTGCCCGTGGCAATTGTGTGGAACTCCTCTCCGAGCCCCAGTGCCTGCGTGGTACCCACAGCCCTGCCCGGCCTCGCAGCCCCTCACCTGGGTTAGCGTTCCACATCCTCCACGGTCACCAAGCTGCAAGGGAAGCACAGGCACCGTCAGTGTTCCCTCACGGCACCTCCTGTCATGGGGAGCTCATGGCCCTGCCAGCAGCCGGGGCCGGCTGGTCTGCCCCACGTATCTGCCCCGCACAGAAACTGCACTCACTCTGAATCATAGAATCACAGAATCATAGAATGGTTTGGGTTAGAAGGGACCTCAAAGATCATCCAGTTTCAACCCCCCTGCCCTGGGCAGGGACACCTCCCACCAGACCAGGTTGCTCCAAGCCCCATCCAGCCTGGCCTTGAACCCCTCCAGGGATGGGGCAGCCACAGCTTCCCTGGGCAACCTGTTCCAGTGTCTCACCACCCTCAGAGTAAAAAATTTCTTCCTGAGATCTAAGCTGAATCTTTTTTCTTCCAATTTAAAACCGTTTCCCCTTGTCCTATCATTACACCTCCTGGCAAAGAGTCCCTCCCCAGCTCTTCTATAGGCACCCTTCAGGTATTGAAAGGTCACTATAAGGTCTCCCCGGAGCCTTCTCTTCCCAAGGAGTACTGTCCCCCGGCAGACCCCAACAGCTGCCTCGTCCCTTCGAGTGACAGTGCCAATCCCGAGAGCGACTGTCCCCACCTCTGGGCACACCCAAAGCCCGGGCATGTGGTTCCCATCATTAATTGGAAATAATAAACCAACTCAGGCTGAGGCTGGGTGCCCAGCCCGTGTCCTTGGGGACCACAAGGGGCTGGGGACACCATATCTTGGTGCAGCACCAGCCATGGTGCCCGCACTCCCACCACCCTGCGTCCCCCCAGGCACTGCAGCCTCGGGCAGCCCCTTTCACTCACCCAACCTGCCAAAAAGCTCCCAGCAGAGGTGATGCTGGCAGCACCCTCTGGAAGCACTGCTACCAGCTGATCTTCGTCCTCCGCACGGCTCTCCTGGGGCGGCCAGCACCCGATAAATAGCAGGGCCCTGCCCCAGCAAGGAGGGGTGCAGCGGGTAGGGGTGACGCTGCACCACTCCCTGCACCACGGCCGTCACCATGGGCACGCAGGTAACGTTAGCACACCACTCCCAGCTGGGACAAAGGTCCCACAGGGCTGATAAAAACAGGGACTGGAAGGGTTTCTCCTCCCAGCGTCAGGTGGTGGGGTGAGTCAGATGTCCCCGCCATGAACCCTGGCTCTGCGCTCCCAGCGTGGCCACGGTGCCCAGGGAGAGGGGGACAGCACAGAGGGGTCACCTGCCCACAGGCCCTGCTGTGGGACAGTGGAGCTTGGGGTCCAGCTGATGTGACACTGCTCAGATGTGGTGTGCGGATGGAGGAGGCGATATCTGCCATCATCAGACCCAGTCAACAGAGACAGGAGGCAGGACTGGATGCTCCAATGGTCAGGTCTTCCTCTCGGGGGGTCTATGAGGAGGGGGTAGAGCTCCTCCTTCCCATCCCCATCTCCCCTTTAACACCCTTGTTGGTGCCCCATGTTTGGCAACACTCTCTTCCCGGGCCAGCAAGCAATGGAACAGGCTGGTCTCATGATGTACCATCAAAAAGACACCTGGCAGAAAGGGACTGCACCAGGTCTTGTCCCAGCCCTTACCATCCCTGGAGGTGTTCAAAAGATGGGTTGATGTAGTGCTGGGAGGTATGGTTTAGTGATGATGCTCCTTGTTTGTTGTGTGGGTGTCTATTTTTGTCAGTTAGGTTGACGGTTGGACAAGATGATCTTTAAGGTCCCTTCCAACCTAGAAGATTCTGTGATTCTGTGATTCAGAGAGAGGGGTGTCTCAGGGGGAGGGTGGGATGGGTACTGGGCACAGAAACACACAGGGGCATGTTGGGTCAGGAGGTGCCCACACACAGGGATGTCCTCCCAAGTAGCACCTCCACATCCCTGCCGTCCCCTCCGTTGGGAGCCCTGTAGCCCCAGGCACTGCCAGCCCAGCTGGCTCCTTCTACACCAGGAATGCAGACTGGAGTCCGAGCCCCAGACAACAAAAACCACCGTTGGCCAAGGAAAGGCCAGCAGGAGACATGTTGCTGAGATCTGCCTGAATACTGTGTCCAGTTTTGGGCCCCCTACCATAAAAAAGACATTGAGGTGCTGGAGCGGGTCCAGAGAAGGGCGACAAAGATGGTGAAGGGTCTGGAGAATAAGTCTTATGAGGAGAGGCTGAGGGAGCTGGGGGTGTTCAGCCTGGAGAAGAGGAGGCTGAGGGGAGACCTTATTGCTCTCTACAACTCCCTGAAAGGAGGGTGTAGAGAGGTGGGGGTCGGTCTCTTTTCTCAAGTCACAGGCGACAGGACAAGAGGAAATGGCCTCAAGTTGCGCCAGGGGAGGTTCAGGCTGGATATTAGGAAAAATTTTTTTCACTGAAAGGGTTCTCAGGCATTGGAATGGGCTGCCCAGGGAGGTGGTTGAGGCCCCATCCCTGGAGGTGTTCAAAAGACGGGTTGATGTAGTGCTGGGAGGTATGGTTTAGTGATGATGTTCCTTGTTTGTTGTGTGGGTGTCTACTTTTGTCAGTTAGGTTGACGGTTGGACAAGATGATCTTTAAGGTCCCTTCCGACCTAGAAGATTCTGTGATTCTGTGAATGGAGCAGCTCTCCCAAGGCGGATACCGAAGGAGCCCAGGCAGGGATGAATGTGTTTTCCAGCTGTATTTGCCACTGCAGAGCCCCCAGTCCATCCCCAAACCCCTCTCAGGGTGCCCGCTTCTCCAGCAGTGCCAGCACAAGTGCCGAGCCTTGCTTTGCCTCCTCCAGCAGCCCAGAGACCTTCTGCGACATCTGCACGGGAAGGGACAAAGTGCATCATTCGCCACTTGACAGGACAGAAGAGCTGTCCACCATCTACCCCATGCATCCCGGTGGTGGCAAAGGGAGAGGGCACCTGGGCATAAGGGGTGCTAAGGGCTTCATCTCCATCTCTGTCCCACCTCACCCCCACCACCAGGGTCGAGGCACATGCACAGCCCCTGCTTACCGCAAGCTTGAACTTCTCATCCGTTATGTCTTTGAGGTTGATCATGACATTGAAGTAAGCTCCGAACACAGCCGCTTCCAGCATTTTGGCTCCCACCTAGAAAAAGAGGCTTGCGAGAAGCTCTCCTGCTGAACCAGAGCACTCGCATACAGTCCTGCAGCATAAGGACCTGCCCTGCTGCAGGACTCCCACCCTCTGTGACCCAACAGCACGGTGTTCAAAAGACGAGTTGACATGGTGCTCGGGAACATGGTTTAGTGTTGTTTTTTTGTGGGTTTTTTTGTTTGTTTGTTTTGGTTGTTTTGGTTGTTTGTTTTGGTTGTTGTTGGTTTTGTTTTGTTTTTTTTTTTTTTGTGGTTGGACTCGATGATCTCTGAGGTCCCTTCCAACCACTACGATTCTGTGACTCTGTGACCCAACAGCATGCAACACTTTCCAACATGGTATTTTCAGGCTGTGGCTCTGGCAGTGGGAAGCATTCATGGCCTTGCCGCACAGGTGGGAAAACTGAGGCAAGGGCTGGTGGAAGTCAACTCTCCTACAAGGGTTGCAAGCTGCCAAGAAGTTAGTGGATGGAAACCACGGGCCAGTTTGTGAAGCGCGGCTTGAGAGATGCAACCTGGAGGTCAGGACAGGATGGGAGACTGTGCAGGGAAAAGTGGTGAGCCTGTCGGCCTCCAAAGCCCCAAGCCCAGGACCATACCTGGATGTCAGATTTGCAGGCCAGGTTGCAGTGGCGTGCCAGCTCCTTGAGAGGAGGCCAAAGCCCGCTCACCTTCTCTGCCAGGGCACAGGGCACCCTCACAGCTGTCTTCAGCCCCTGTTGCATGGCAGCTGTGCGTCTGGGAGGGGGGACAGCCCCAGGGTGAGCACTGGGTGGCTGTGCTCCCCTGGTTCTGCAAGTCCCCACCAGCCCAGCTCACCTCTCCCGCTCTTCAGGGGTGCTTTTTGGCAGCTTCATAGCTTCCTGCAGGCAAAGAAAAGCAGATTTTTACTTGCTGTTTGCTCCAAGACCTCGTGTGTCTTGCATCAGGGGGCCAAGGCAGACCTGATAGCTCCCATGCTCTTGAAAACCTCCTTTAGGTGATGATGGTCCTGGCTTGTGCCAAGGTCACTGCCCTGTTCCTAAAGGCACTGGGGGATGTGATGCTGGCCCCCCTCCCATCTGGAAAGTCCCTCGCGTCCCTGTGGGACGTCTGCTGCTGGTGGAACCTCACCATGTAGCTGCTGAAGGCACGAGAGTCAGCATCCACCATCGCCACAAGCTCGTCCATGCCCTGGTGGAAGGGGGGGATCAGCTTCCTCATGATGGGGTCCAGCTCCTCAAACTGCCGCTTTCCATAGCTCATCAGCCCCACCATGCAGCCCAGCGCCGCTCCCTGCAAGGGCACGGTGGGAAGTCCTCCAGCAGCATACACGCTACTGCCATGTTGGCTTGGCACACCTGAAAGGACCCTCCAGGCAGGTAGGGACCTCATCCTGGTGTAGGGCACATACCAGGGCACCTGCAGCTGCAGACACGGAGCCTCCTCCTGGCGCTGCCGACCTCCCACCAACTGCTCGCACGAAGGCGCCCAGTGGCTTGGCCACCAGCCCCTTGTCCTGCTCTCCTGCCTGCACCAGGTACCTGTGGCACAGAGACCCTGTGGGTCAGAGCACCCCCCAGGTTCAGGGACACCCACCAACACCACCCGGTCTCTTCTTGCCCGGCACTGCCCTCTCCAACAGGTTTTCGTCCACCCCTTGGCTCTGCGGGTGGCTGAGAAGGAGACTAGCTCCCAAAACCCAGCAGGGAGGTCAGGGAGAGGATATGGAGCCCCATGGAGACAGAAAGTCAGCTGGGGAGTACATGTGCTGGTGGTATTGGGGGTTGCTCTGCATTAGATGGGGTGGGCTTGTGCAAACAGCATTTGGTGGGACAGAAACGCCTGCAGCCATGTCCCCAGGGGGGACAACAAGGACTTGAAGTACATGTCCTGATTTCCCCTTGGCACGGGTGGATTTCCTTTCCTGTACCCCCACAGACATGCACTTCACACCAGGCGCTGCATCACGGCATCTCTCCTTGGAGAGCAGCACATGAGCCAGAGGCAGCGAAATTTGGGCTGGGGTTAGGGTGGAGGATTTAACATGCTCAAGTACGTGCTCAAGTTTGGCCATGGAACCTGCTCCCGCTGTCTGCCTGAGCCACCCCACATTCACAAACATCAGCACTTGGGAGCAGGGACCATCCTGTGCCTGCACAGCACTCGACAGAGATGTCCCCTGGGTGTGAAGAGGAGTTGGGTGCAGGTGGCAGTCCCAAAGCAAGCTGAGCGCAAGAGGCAGGCAGCAGGATCCCCCCATCTGGGCAGGGATGGGCACCGTGATGAGGAGCAGGATGGGGGTCCCTACTCGATGATGCGCTCCTGGGGGTGAAACGGAGACAGGGAGTCCAGGCCCAGCCGGCTGACCACCTGCAAGGAGCAGCACCACCATGATAAGTCCCGTTGCATCTTCATTCCCTGCTGTTAATTAACCATGGGTAATCCATCCCTAGGACAGCGTTGCTCAGGACACCACCCAGGGAGAGGACAGCTGGCGTCACCAGCCTGTCCCACCCCAGACTTAGAGGTGGCATGTGGCTGTCTGCAAATGACTGGAAACCACACCAATAAATAATTAACTTGCTCTTATCTAGCACGTTCCCCATAGGGTGGAAAAGTCCCTCCCTCCTACAGCTGAAAGGCACAGCCTGTCTCCTTATTTCCAGTTTACACTGGTCCTGGGGCAGTTTTCCATAACACCACACGCTGTCCTTGAGCTCTGGGGAGGTCTCCTTGCCCTCCTGGCCCCCATGCAGGCAAGCTGGGCAGCTGCTGCCCACACTGTCCTCACAGGATGGGCTCTCTGCTGCTTGAGCATCTCAGCGTCCTCAGGACGATAAAGCAACTTGTCCCATTTGCTGTGCCCTCACAGCTTGACAGGCACCATTCTCGGACACAAGTGTCATGCCTAGGGGCTGCTGTGGCCCCAGGGATGGGCACCGTGATGAGGAGCAGGATGGGGGTCCCTACTCGATGATGCGCTCCTGGGGGTGAAACGGAGACAGGGAGTCCAGGCCCAGCCGGCTGACCACCTGCAAGGAGCAGCACCATCATGATAAGTCCCGTTGCATCTCCATTCCCTGCTGTTAATTAACCATGGGTAATCCATCCCTAGGACAGCGTTGCTCAGGACACCACCCAGGGAGAGGACAGCTGGCGTCACCAGCCTGTCCCACCCCAGACTTAGAGGTGGCATGTGGCTGTCTGCAAATGACTGGAAACCACACCAATAAATAATTAACTTGCTCTTATCTAGCACGTTCCCCATAGGGTGGAAAAGTCCCTCCCTCCTACAGCTGAAAGGCACAGCCTGTCTCCTTATTTCCAGTTTACACTGGTCCTGGGGCAGTTTTCCATAACACCACACACTGTCCTTGAGCTCTGGGGAGGTCTCCTTGCCCTCCTGGCCCCCATGCAGGCAAGCTGGGCAGCTGCTGCCCACACTGTCCTCACAGGATGGGCTCTCTGCTGCTTGAGCATCTCAGCGTCCTCAGGACGATAAAGCAACTTGTCCCATTTGCTGTGCCCTCACAGCTTGCCAGGCACCATTCTTGGACACAAGTGTCATGCCTGGGGGCTGCTGTGGCCCCAAATCTCTGCCCAGTGCCACTTTGGGAGGCTGGGGGAGTGGGAGGGTGTCTCTCTCATGATCCCACCCTTGGCTTGGTACTAGGAAGAGCCACGTTACCAGTCTGATCTTCTGTTCCTCCTCTAGGATGAAGAGTTTTTCCTTCTTTATGTAAAACTCAGCTGCGTCCAGCATGGCCTTCTTGGGGACAAGCCCCACCAGCTGGGACCCCACCACGGGGAGGTTCAGTGCCTGCAAAGGACATCAGAAACATGAGTTTCCCCAGAGCCACCTGCCCTGGTGCAGTTACCACCCCAGCCTGGGTATTCTCATCCCTTCCCAGGACCTGGGAAGTTCATGAAAAAACCTTCAGTGGAGGACCTGGGAGCTAGCAGGAAGTTGCTGAGCTTTTAGTGGTTTTGTGCCATTCAGCACTTTGCCCAGCCTGGCTGAGCTGAGCATGAGATAAAGCAGAGGCTGACCTGGAGGTGGGAAGAAAAACTTGGAGGAAGACGCTCTCTGCAAAGCCCCCACTGAAACAAGCATGGTGTGCTGCACCATGCCACCCACCTCTGCGTCTCGGCAGACCTCCTCGTAGACAACGTGGAGCGGCGTGGTCTCAAAGTCCAGCAGGTTCGTCGAAACCTGGGCTATGTTCTCTTCCTCCAAATACCAGCCGATGCCCTGCACCTTCTTCAAGCGCCCGGGCTGTCAAGAACTGCCACAGTCAAGGCATGGCCCGGGAGGCATGGGGGCAAGCAGGTCTGCTTCCAGCATGCCACCGGCACGGGGGTACCTGGTCAGCGCCACGACCCTGCTCGCGGATGTTGAGGGCAATGCGGTGAGCCAGCTCCTTGGTGCACAGCAGGTTGATGTTGTAGGCGATAAGGAAGGTCCTGGCACCTGTCACTGTGGCCCCCCACCGAGGGACAAAGGTTGGGGGCCCAAAATCAGGAGCCCACTCTGGTTTTGCAAGCTGGGGAAGAGGGAAGAGAGTGCGTGGGCTGGCACTGCCAAGCAGCGTGAGCCACCCTCCCGAGGACAGAGTGTTCTTCCCCAGCCGGCACCTGCCATGGCCACCAGCAGCACCCAAAGTGTTTCACGAGCTCCTCTTGGTGTGAAGGGACTATGCCAGCCCCCAGCCCTCTCCCCGAAGCCAGGGAGGTGCAGCTCAGCTCTGCCCGGTCCGTGCTGCCCACCGGGCGCTGTCAGACTCACCTTCTCCGGCAGCGCCTCGTACTCTCCGGCGCGGATGTTGGGCAGAGCCTTCCTGCTCTCCTGCCGCGCCGCCTCTCCGTACAGGTACACTGCAGGACAGAGCCGAGGCTGAGCACCACCAGGCTGGTGGCACATCAACTTTAGTGGGGTCTGGTTAGCATCATTTCATAGAATCATAGAATCATAGAATCATTGAGGTTGGAAGAGACCCTTGGGATCATCGAGTCCAACCATCTCCCCTACTCTACAAAGTCCTCCCCTACACCATGTCCCTCAGCACTGCATCTAAACGGCCCTTAAACACAGCCAGGGATGGTGACTCCACCCCCTCCCTGGGCAGCCTGTTCCAATGCCCGACCACTCTTTCAGTGAAAAATTCCTCCCTAATGTTCAATCTAAACCTCCCCTGTTGGAGCTTGAAGCCATTCCCTCTTGTTCTGTCATTAATTACCTGTGAGAAGAGACCAGCACCAACCTCTCTACAGTGTCCTTTCAAGTAGTTGTAGAGAGTGATGAGGTCTCCCCTCAGCCTCCTCTTCCTCATACTAAACAGCCCCAGCTCCTTCAGCCGCTCTTCATATGATTTGTCTTCTAGGCCCTTCACTAGTTTCGTTGCCCTCCTCTGCACTCGCTCCAGCACCTCGATATCTCTCTTGTATTGAGGTGCCCAAAACTGGACACAACACTCGAGGTGTGGCCTCCCCAGTGCTGAGTACAGGGGCACAATCACCTCCCTACTTCTGCTGGTCACACTATTTTTGATACAAGCCAGGATGCCATTGGCTTTCTTGCCCCCCTGGGCACACGGCCGGCTCATATTCAGCCGTTTGTCAACTAGAACCCCCAGGTCTCTTTCCTCCAGGCAGCTCCAGCCACACTTCCCCCAGCCTGTAGCGCTGCAGGGGGTTGGTGTGGCCCAAGTGCAGGACCTTGCACTTGCCCTTGTTGAAACTCATGCCGTTGATCTTGGCCCAGTGATTTGGGAGCAAACCTCATTTTTCCCTTTGTTAAGTTTTTGCAAAAGGTGTGCAGTTTCTTCACAGCTGGAAGCATGTGGGGTGGGACAGGATGGGCAGAGGTTTCTGGCCCCCACTCACCAGGCACCCCCAGCTCTGCTGCCAAGCGTTGCCCGAAGACTTGGGCACAGTTGACACACTCCTCCATGCTGACGTTCATCACCGGCACAAAAGGGCAGACGTCCAGGGCCCCCATGCGAGGGTGTTCACCTGGGGACAGGGCAGGTATGAAGATGAGAGCTGGGACAAGCAAGCAGACAAAGAGGGAGGACAGCCCTTTCCCAGCCTCTTTTGCAGACTGAGCACTGCCGCTGTGAGGAAAATTGTGTTTGTGGCAGTAATGTCTACTCCACAGGAGGATGAGCAAGGGCTTTGCACGGTCCCAGCACCATCCATCCATCCATCCCAGCAGTGCTGCTTGCTGTAGGTGCAGTAACGTGCTGTGCTTGGCTGTCAGTGGATGATTTCAGCCCCAGCCATGCCAGGTGCACCTGGAGTCAACCACGCACCACAGCCAAGGGATGTTCTGCACCAGGCTGGCTCCTGTGCCACCCCTGAGCTCACCTGTGTGTCGGCTCATGTCGATGAGCTGCCCAGCCACGCGGGCTGCGCTCAGCGCCCCTTCGATGACAGCCTGGGGAGACCCCACAAAGGTGTAGACGGTGCGGTTGGTGGAGGAGCCGGCATCCACGTCCAGCAGCACACAGCCCGGCGTCTGGGAGATGGCTTGCCCCAGCGCATCGATCACCTGCCAGACAGCAGAAGGGGGCAAGGCAGCTGAGCCAGCAAGACCCTCCACCTTCTCAAGGTGGGGTAATGCCTTTTCTCAGCTCTCCCCCTTTCCACCGGCACCAGGGTTGGGGATGAGACCACAGTCGGTGTGGGTGCAGCCCTGGGCAGCAGAGGATGCAGGATCCAGAGGAGTGAACATCCCACTCCTATCCAGGGAGTCTGGGACACGGCTGGCTCCCAGCAAGCCCCAAACCCACCACAGTGGTGGAGAGCTGCCTGGCTGCTGCTACACATCAGAGAGCACCATCATAAATTGCTGTTCCTGAGGATACTGTCTCTGCCAGCTTCAAAATAGATTTGGCTCTGTTAAGTTTGTTCCCTGGGGGAAGCAGTGATCTTATTGCCATTTTAAGTTTGCTGAACTCCCCCAGCCCAAGCAGGGCCAAAGTTCAGGCTAGGGCTGATATCCATTAACCCGGACAGTGGGTTTTGGCACAACTGCAAGTGATAATTTCTCTAGGGGGGTATGCCACTACTTCTACAGCAACCTGCAGGCAGTGAGGAGGAGTGGGTCCGAGCCCCCACTTCTCACCCAGGTAGCAAAAGGGAGCAGGGGCTGCCTTTGGGCATTTTCAGCATCAGTCGGGCAGGGAAAGTTGCGCAGCACGTCAAAGGAGGCAGGGCAGAGTCTGGCAGCAGGTGCCACCCGCATGGCCCCTCCGCCAGGCCAGCCCAGCCACACGCAGCCCAGCATCGCCCACCCCTCAGCACCTCCTCACGCTCCCTCACCTCTTTGTTATTCCCCTCTGAGAAGTTAGGGACACACTCCACCAGCTTGGCCATTGTCTCAGAGTCTGTCTGCACCCCGTGCTCGGCTCCTCGCCCTCTGTGGGTTTGCCAGTCCCTTCCTGTCCCACTGCGGAGCAAAAGCCTCCCAGCACCCAACCCGTTACCTCTTCCCTGTGCTGGGGTTTCTCATTAACTGCATCGATCTGTGGTCTGGAGACAGAAAAGGTCTTGGATAAACAAAGTGCTACTGGCCCCTCTGCATCTGGAGCAGCTTTGGGCACAAGGGCACTGCATGCTCACCAGGGCCAGCCTACAACACTAATTACCCAAAAGAGCCAATTAATTGCTAGGAGAAAGTGGTGCCGATGAAGAAAAGCATCTGTTGTGCCCAGCACCACGTCATGGCTACAGGATGGGATGGCCTGGTCCTGCTCAGAGCACAAAAACAGGCTCACCAGCACTCCATGATGATGGGGGGCAGGTGCTCTCCAGGACCCCCAGCATGGGCACCAGGCAGCAGGTAAAAATCTCTCTCTGTGAGCAAGATTTGAGCCCGTGCAGGGAAACCCTACTGGATTTTAAGTCCAACATCTTCACCCCTCAGCCATCACAGTCCCAACCCTTGGTACCCAGGGGGTACACCTGCACCCCCACACAGGGTACCCCCTGTTTCATTCTAGGTGCCCTACTTTCCTGGAAAGTGGGAAACTCTTTGGGGAAAGTGGGAAACCCCAGAGCATTTCTAGGGGGTTTGGGGGCTCTGCCAGCCTGGCAGCTGGCAGGGCGTGGGGGAGGCAGAAGCTGGAGATGCTGGGGTTTGAATGGGAGGGGGTTTGGGGGCTCTGCCAGCCTGGCAGCTGGCAGGGCGTGGGGGAGGCAGAAGCTGGAGATGCTGGGGTCTGAACATAGGGCCTCTGACATGCAAAGCAAGTGCTCTCCCACTGAGCTACTTCCCCTTGAAATAGCCTCTGACCAGGCTTTCTCATCACTCCCAGAAAATACCAGTCGCTGTTCCTTCCCCAGCCCCACAGAGCTGCTGACATTGGGGGTCAGGGGTTTGTGGGCACTGAGTGTCCTGCAGGTGCCAGTGGGCTGGCAAGGGGGCTGGGACTGGGGGGATGGCTGTGGGCAAACTGGGAACATGTTTTTCTGCACCCCCCGGCAGAGGTCCACTGGGACGAGGTGGCAGCACGGTTCTGCTCTGCTGTGCCCCACTGCCCCTTCCCCACTCAGGAAGCCCTGGCCATGGCTGAGCCGTGTCTCTTTGCCCATGGGGCAGAGGCAGCACCTCACCCCTCGCAGTGGCAGGACCATCCCAGCAGAGGGGACACAGCTGAGTTGTTGAGTCTGCCTGTCCACCCTGTGCCAGACCACGTCGCCCCATCCATGCAGCAGCTGTGCCCAGCGGCAGATGGCCAAAAGCAAGGCTTGTCCAGGAGTAGAGCCCGGGACCTTGCATATCCTAAGCACAAATCATACCCCCAGACCAACAAGCCATGATGTGCAGCAGCTCGGGTACCCCCAGCCTGTGCCAGGCCCCCAGGAGCTGCTTTTCAGGAATGATGCCTGCTGCCAAGCCCTGGGGAGCAGAGCAGGGCTGAGTGGGGGTGCAGGGATTGGGACTGGGGGTGCCCAGGCAGTCACACAGCCTGGCTTGTTGGTCTAGGGCTATGACCCTTGCTTAGGGTGTGGGAGGTTAGGGCTTCAGTTCCTCAACAGGATCTCCTCTTGGACACCCACCACCCATTCCCTATGGAGACGAGACACAGACAGGGTGACATCCTCAGTGGGCAGCTCTGCCCAGGACAGCAGTGCAGGGTGGGGGCATGGGGATGGCCCTGTCCTCACCCTGAGATAGCTACAGGTAGCCCCTGACCCAGGCTCTGCATGCAGAAAATCATGCCCCTGCTCTGCCCCAGGTGCATTTTCCCTGTCCTGGACCACTGGCAGTCTGGGGCACCCAAGGGACACCCAGTGCCTGCAAAGCACTGGACCCAAAGTTCTGCAGCTCCAGTGGACTGGGGAAGGAAACAGCTACTGGAATTTTCTCGGAGCAGTGGGAAAGCCAGATCAGAGTGGAACATCAGCTTTGGGGGTTACCCCACAGAGGACAAAGGGCCGGGGGTGATGCTGCAAAGCACCGGCCATTTCAACCACTGCAAGGGCCAAGGAGGTGGTTTTGAGGAGGAAAATCCCTAGCGACGGTGGGAATAATGGGCATGTTCATGCTGGGCACCAACATCCTGCATTCACCTCCAGCTGCTGACTCCATGGACCAGAGACAACAAGAGGTCACCCAGCGTGTACAGAGGGTAGCACACAGCTTCAGCTGTCCCCTCAAACCCCCAAAAGTGTGTGGGTGGCAGAGGCTGGGGGTGAAATGGCTGGTAGCACCCTGGCTTATCGGTCTGGGGGTGTGAGTCTCGCTTTGGGTGTGAGAGACCCCAGGTTCCTGGATGAGCTCTCCCTTTGGGCAGCCACTTTCGCCAGCAACACATTGGTGTATCCAGGGCACAACAAGGGCTGTGGTGTCCAGGACATTGGGTTATGTGCCTGATCCTGGTGGAACACATCCCCATGGGCAGGATGGACCTCCAAGAGCAAGGTGCTGCTGGGTGTGTGGGCAGGGAGGCAGAGGGAGGCAGATGGAGGAAGGGGTGGGAAAGGCCATTTGGAGACAGCACTGCCCATGGCGTAGCAGAGCAGGTACTGCCAGCAGCCTGTGCCCTGAGGGTCTGTTTCTGGGGTCAGGGCGCTGGGGGCAGCACAGGGTGACCACTGGGCAGAGGGACAGCAGTGGGGGTGAGGGGAGTTGGCCAGGCCCCCACCCCTGCCCAGGCAGGGGGGATGTAGCTCAGTGGGAGAGCGCTTGCTTTGCATGTAAGAGGCCCTGGGTTCAACCCCCAGCATCTCCAGCTTCTTTTGCCTCCCTGGACGCCCTCCCTGCCATCTGCGGGGCCGGCAGAGCCCCCCAAACCCTCTAGAAATGCTCTAGGACTGGCTGTGGGCATGGCTGGCCTGGGGGACATCATTTCCCTTCCCTGTGGGCCTCAGGGTCTCTCCTGGGGTGCAGGTGGGTGGTGAGGGGAGCAGATGGGTGGAAGTTGGGCCGTGGGTGTCCAAAAGGAGGGCTCGTCCGGGAGTTGAACCCGGGACCTCTCGCACCCTAAGCGAGAATCATACCCCTAGACCAACGAGCCATGGTCACAATGTGCCCCTTGCCCAGCTCCTGTCCCACCCGGCCCCATGGCCCCAGGTACCACACAGGCCAATCTGGCACACACGGCAGGTGGAAGCTGCCCCAGCACCCTCTGGTGGCCCTTCTCCCTCCTTCTGCTCTCCAGCCATCAGCTCCCTCATCGCCCCCAGGGAGGAGGCACAGGGTGATGTGAGGGAGTCCCCAGAAAGTGGCATCAGGGGCTCTGGGGTCCCTGGACAGCACTGTCCCCCCAGTGCCTGGCATGGGCTGCATTTTGCAGCTCTTTGCTCCAGGAGAACGATTCTTGCTTGGGTTATGATTCTTGCTGAGGCTACGTAAGGTCCCGGGCTCTACCCCTGGATGAGGCCTCCTTTTGGGCATCCACCACTGGGCACAGTCCCTGCAGGGCCAGGGCACGGACAGGGCAACAATGTCCAGCAACAGCTCAGCTGTCCGTCTTCTGCTGGGGTGGTCCTGCTGCTGCCAGCACCGAGGTGCTGACCCCATGGGCGGCTCAGCCATGGCCAGGGCTCAGCCCCTCCTGGATGGGGAAGGGGCTTTTGGAGCAGTGCCACTCTGCTGACAACCCACCCACTGCCCAACCCTGGTGCTGGAGGGAGATCAGCTTTGGGGATATCACCAATCTGGCACACACTGCAGCTGGCAGCTGCCCCCAGCACCATGTTCTTTTGCCTCCCCGGACGCCCTCCCTGCCAAGCTACGGGGCCGGCAGAGCCCCCCAAACCCTCTAGAAGAGCTCCAGGACTGGGCATGGCTGGCTTGGGGGTCCTTCCTCGCACCTGCAGACTGTGAGGAAATGCCTGCTCCCCTGCCTAGAGCTACAAGCCAGACCGTGGAGCTGACACCCAGCACAGCCTCTGTCCCTGACCCAGCTCTGTCTGGCCGGCCAGCATGGGTACAAGGGAGAGCTGCTGATGCTGGGGGGTTGGATACCTCCCCAGTGGAGGGCCACCCTTGGCAGCTGGCATGGCTGGAGGGTGCTGCAGAGCTGTGTTTCACCCTTGGTGCTTTAGCCTCCCTGCTGGGTGGCAGTGGCTGAGCATGGTTTGGTCCTCTACCAAGGTTCTCTTCCCAGTGCTGGTGTCAGGCCAGGCCAGGAGGAGGTAAAGGGAGCTGGGTGAGAACTGGGTGTCACCAGCACCTGCTGCACTGGGGAGCTGCTCTCTCCCTCAGTGTGTCTCATGCACCTCTCAAAAAACTGGAGAATCTGGGGGTGCCTGAGCCCTCAGAGGTTACACTGAGATTGTTTGGGTTGGCCTTGGGCAATCATGGGTGATCCAGGCAGGCAGGCGATGCCATGGGATCCTCAGGTGAGGAGCCAGAAAGAGAGCTGAGACAGAGGAAGTCACCTCAGGGCAGTATGGGGACTGGGAGA